ACTATATAACATATCTTTGTTTTCTAGCACATCATCTTATATCGTTTTATAAATAATTGTAACTAATTACAACTGATTTAATCGTCACCTTTATTGTCGATGTTATTTTGAACAATAAAAAAAAAAATTGTGCCTATGTATTTTTAATATTTTTCAACTGGTATTGTAACAATATATCAAGATTCTTGTATTCAATTTCCATGCTTTTTTTAGCCAACAAATACAATTTTATTGAAAACTATAGAAAAAAAATTTAAAAAATTTAAAATTATCAATCTCCGTAAATTGCTTAAAAATAGTCAAAATTTTTTCAACATTTTGTGGTGTATAGAAAATAATAATATAAATATTCAGTGGAATTTTCATTATCTGCAATAATTAGTTTTTGAATTACGACGAAATAAAAAAATCTGTACAAGAGAAATCAAGTGAATATCCAATATTGTAAAAATATGAACTTCAAACACTCATAAGAATTAAATTTGATTTGGTTGTAGACATTTTTTTTTTTTGATAAAGGTAGCAAGTTTACGAGGAAAAATATATTAATATATATATATATCAATATATTTTTATATTTAAATTATGATACAAGATTCCTCGTAAATTTGTCTACCTTCATAAAAAAAAAAAAATGTCTACAACCAAATCAAATATATATAGGTATATGAATTTCTAACTCAATGTAAATTGCACATTTTTATGAATTTTACGTATTTTGTCAATATATCTATGGATTATACTTTAATAAAATCTATACAATGTCATATTGTTATAACTTATAAATTATATTATTATAATTATTTATGATGGTTTTTACTTATCAATTATCACGTAGACATGTTGTTATCTCTATCAGTAAAATGCCAATATCATGTCGGAGTAACATAATATAATATCGTCATAGTATACGTTCGAAGTAATCGATATCGGAGCAGTGTTATGGTCACGAATCAAGTATAATTCGTGGTTATGGTTGACAATAAAAATGTACGGAGTACTACAATGTCGTAGTAGTATACAGTTGTAGTAGCACTGGTCTTATCCCGCGTTCGTTATCGTATTATGAAGCGTAATCAATAGTAATAATCCCTTATCGTCAATTTCGAGGGTGGCAAAACATGGAATAATAGTGTCTGTGATCTGTGAGTGGTCCACGGCTGCGGCGTGGGTTGGCGTCGGCGTCGGACGGGTAGCGCCATTTCACCGGGAGAATTCATACCGAACTCTGAAGCTCTGTTGCGAACGCTCTGTTCACGACCCAAGTCGCATCAATTGCCGTATGGTGCCAACAGGAACTCGATTCTCGAGGGAATCTTCGTCGATCTGATTTCAGACCTAACAGGTAATGATGTACAACTCGTTTACAAAGCCGTGTCCCACGCGAATCCGACGAAAAACATGACCGTTTGTACTTCGTCGCGTGCACGCCGTATGGCGGCGGAACGGCATGACCAGCATAGCAACCGTCGGATTTACGCGGGACACGGCGTAACCGTAGGCTGTAGGTTTATCGTAGGTACACGATAAAAGCGCGTACCGCCGAGTATTACAACCGGTGGGACATAGAATGTAGAGCCACGTGCGCACTTGTAACATATTTTTCCGTAACTCCGTTCCACCAGTTGTCGGTAAACTTGGCCGCATCAAAGGATGTTACGCGCAAATGTTACAAGTGTGTACGCGGCTTGGGATTAGATGCGGTACGCGAGGTCAAGAGTACAGAGTACATAGGTACTGAATATTATGATGTCCTGCCGTGTGTGTGCAAATTGCAGTGCGGCCGTCGACTAGTGTCAACGGTGACGACTGACGGCACACGGGCACACGATGTTGATTGTTTTACGTTGATTTTTTTATTAATAGATAGATAATTGTTAACAAACTAATATCGTACACCATACAACATCACCACCACAGTGAGTCGTAAGCGCACTATCCGGATTTCGGGCTTTTATTCGATTAGAATTAAAAAAAATTGTAGAAAAATTTTTTTAAGGTATATTTGAAGTGCATAAGTGTTTGTATATTCAGTGATTTTTTAGAGCTACAAGTCCTCTGCCCTAATAATAAATAACGATAAAGGTAATAATATAGATTTACAACAATATTATTGAGCCATCATCTAAAATATTGAGCACAGGACATGTTAAGTAGATAGGATTAGAGGCAAATTTTCATCTTTTTTTTATTTAAGCTATGTACACAACGTTTTTTTCATGGCTCGTTTCATATACAGTGAGTACCGCTTAATGTGATCTCACTGGTTCAGACCAATTTGATTCTATTAACCTGTTGGTTCCATAAAGCATTTTTGTTTTAAATATAATATTTGGATTTTGATTTTAATTTTTAATTCCAATAAACGGTAGATTCTATAAACCAGTGATTACATTAAGCGGAACTCACTGTAGTTTTTTTTATGAGAAATGTGGTGACAGTAAAGCACTAACAACTAACAACATGAAAATGTCTTTGTGTATATAAAATATAATAATATATCTACTTACATACTCTAAAAGTTTTAAGTACCCATGAATATTGTCTGTAAGTTATAACAAAAATAACAAAAATTCTTTGATTAAATATTTTTTTTAGTTCAGGGTTTTATCCTTTACATTCCAAATCATTTTTAAAATATTTTATAAACTTAAAATGTGTTTATTACATAGGTATTACATATATATACATATAACTTTTAAGTAACAAGCAAAAAAATTATGTTAATAAACTAAATGTTTATTTTATCGTTTTCCATGCATGATCTCTTTTTGGACTATGCAACTCATGTCCATAGCAAGACATTTAAATTTTTTGGCATAAATGCTGATAAAAATGTACTCTTTGAAAATTGAATGCTAGGTTCCCGATAAATGTTTTTAATAGTAGTTTAAAAATATTAAAAATATATAGGCACAGTTTTGTTTTATAAGCATTTAAAATTTAAATTCGCAAATTAATAATTATGTATACAATGTTCAATTTTCATAGTAAATGATTGAAAATTTACACCAACGTTTCTCTTAAGTATTTCATACAATAACCAAACAATATAAAAATTATATAAACATAGTTTTATTTAATAGATATTTTAAGGTCAAATTCGGACAAAATTAGATTAATATATTTTAATGTAATAGATAATGATGATTTTAGTTATTTTGTTGTGATTTAGAAATATTATTTGTGGATACTTGAAACTTTTAAAGTATATTATTATATTTGATTGACACAATGATATTTTCTAATGCAATATTCAATTTATTGTATTACTAAATGTAAAATAAATAACTTAAACAGCAATAATATAAAATATACACACATAAAAATAAAGTAATTGATTTAACTTCAAACTATACTCGCCGCGGAATAAGAACGTACCCGAGTGGAGTACCAAAATAGGTTTGCTACGCGCAGGTCATAGCTATGACTATAACTATATGTTTATAACTATGACAAGGTTGCGGATGGGAAACCGGTCGCCGCCTGCGCAACGAGGTACGTTCTTATTCCGTGGCGAATATACAATGTTCAATTTCTATTAGTTAAATGAAAAAAAAGCGGGTAAGTGGATGTCACTCTGCTGAACTGTAGGTTAAAAGTGATTCATTGTATAATGGATTGTATTAAACTTGAATTCAATGATATTCTATCATTGTATAAGAATATTGATTCTGAGCGAAGACGGTTTGTCAGTCTAGATATTTTATATTGTCATTATAATATTATATATTATATCATGTTATTTGAATTAATATTATAATATTATTATTTTTTATTCGTTTCTGTGGTAATAAACAAAGCGTTAGAAATTAAAATCCAATTTTTAACGGTTTTTCGTAATTTTTCGGTGGTTTTTACCATGGCATTAAATAACTATTGATAAAATCAAAAAATGACCTATCTAAAGTACCATTTTGATCCAATTTTCTAAAAGATAAGGTTCTATATGTTGAAATCGAAGCACTCCTTCTGGTAGAAATTTTGTATACAAGATATAAAATGAAGAAAAAAAATAAAAAATAAAATAAATAAACACCATTGTAAAACCACTAGCTTTCTCGCTCCGCTCAGAATCTTAAAGGGTGTCCAGTAAATTAAAAAAGTTCCGTTATATATACAAATTTTAAATAATTAGATAGTTTTGAATTTTTTTAGATTTTTAGTGATCTTATGCTTATTTTAAGTGATTTGTTTATTGTTTATTGTTTTATATATAGAACTACAAAATCCAAACTCTAATTATATACTATTATTGACTTGTTAGTTGTTTTTATGGTAACATCCAACACTGACGTTTTCATTAGATTAATATTTCGTAGCGATTATTTATGCAACTAATATACTAAATTGACTTATGATTTAATAATGATTTGTATGTTTTATTTAAAATAAGTGTCCGCCACCGATCCCCTTAACTTCCGATTGCACATATGTAAAGTGTTGTAAAGTGTCATGGTAAAGTAACCCTGCCTTTGTGTGACATAATACGTTGCATATGTGTTTATGGTACTTATTGAATGTTTTACCCACTAACTGATTACCTAGTGCTCTAGTGTATGTTAGCCTCTTGTTGATTTCCTAAATTAATTTTTATGTACGATTTTCATATTTTACTTATTCAATATACATAATATTAATATATAATGTAGGTGTACTTGAATTTAGTAAGTTAATGGATATAGTGTTGTATCTTGGGACAATTTTTATTAAAATTCTCTTTTTCTTTAAAACTTAATAATTAATGTTTTGTTCAAGGTACTGCATACCAATTATTATAATATTGGAAAGAATAAATCTTTTTAGATATTGCAACTAATGGTTTGTAAGAATGGACTACACCATTAATTTCTAAACAATATTTAATATAAAATGACTCTTAGCTCAAGAACTTCTGTAACAAATTTAGATATACCTACTACCTACATATTATAATTTATTTTTAGTTATAAGAAATTGTATAGCTAATTATTTTTTTATTTTTCCAGGATCAATTTAAAATGTCAAAGTGCCTAAACAATGATAGCAAAATACAAATGAGACTTAATATTAAACAGCATCGACAAAAACTTCTTCAATATTTAGAGAATACCAATGATACCTTTTTAAAGCCTAAAATCAAATTAATTTCAAATGATATAGAAAAATCTAATATAAATCACAATTATAAAAGAAAAACCAGATCAAGTACTGTGAAACAACTACCAAATTTTCAACCACATAATGAGAATGACTACCCACCCACCACAAAGAGAAAAATTATGACTTCAAAAACAGAGAGGAATTATCAAAATGCCAAAGAACGAAAATCCCGACATAACATAGCCAACAGTTTTGAAACTCTGAGAAAATGTTGTAGTTATTTGTGCACCAATAGACCCTTGCCATCAAAAAATAGCATACTTTTGGCTGCTAAAAAGGAATGCGATTTGTTAACACTTCATAACAAGAAATTATTAGAAAATAAAATATATTGGAGCAAGAAAAATGAAATTCTGAAAAGTAGGATAAATGAATTGACGATATTGAGTATAATATTATAGTAGTAGTCTTTAATTGTAGTTTACTCTGATAATGCATGATAAGCCTGGAAAATATTTTGGTAAAATTGTTAATGTATATTTCACACTGCCCAATGTACCAACTATTTTTATATTTATTTTTATACTAATATTTAATAGATTTTGTTCATTTTTTGTTCATGTTTTATTTGTATATTATGTGTTGTATACATAACACAAAGTCAATGTATACATATGTAGTTTGTGTTATGCGTTTCTAATAACTATCAATTTTTTGTTTTGTGTATATTAACAGTGAATATTAAATTAAATTCATTCAATCATGGATGAATTACTTTTAATTAAACTAAGTATAAATTTGTGCTCTCTTTATGAGATTCCGTCACCACAGTTACTCATTTAAAATCCGTTGTACATATTTAAAAGCTCAACTTCGTTTTATAAAATTAATTGATTTGTTTTCATATTATCATAACAAATTATTCTAAACTTCAACATTCCAGCAATGTTTTTAATTTTAAGTTGCAACATAATATGTGATATTTTTTTTTTTAGATTATAAGTATTTTATTGTGTATTATAAATCAATTATGTGTTCTTTATCAATTAATCTCACAGTTTTTTTTTTAACCTTTTATTTAACTCCTCTTTTTTACAATACTCTTATTATTTTATATACTAATTACCAGAAAACTTATCCACTGTATATAATAGTTTGATTAGGGCTAGGTTGTTACTATAGACCTACAAGTTAAGTAAACACGAATCAGTTATTATGTTATCCCACTAAACATAACAATTGGCAGACTTTATTGAAACACAATTTTTAATTTGGCAGTATCCACACTTGTTTCTTTTACTCTATATCAAGGGTCACCAACTGGCGGACCGCGAGCACTTTTTTACAGACCCTTATCCACGGAAAAATTCAATTTGAGTAAATAAATAAATATAACTACAAATTTAAAAAATGTATAATATACCTATTTATTAACGAGTGTAAAATACAATTTGAATAAATAAATATGATCACAAATTTATAAAATATAAATACCTATTTATTAAGGTGTGTAAAAGTCATTGAAACTGTTTGGACAGCGCAAAGTTTGGTAAGTTTCAAAACGGACCCCCATAGAAAGAAGTTGGTAACCCCTGCTCTATGTCGTACCCCTGACCTCTCTCTAAGCGCTGTCAATTAGTTTATAGGTCCATGGTTTAGTGATTTTGGTCCATTTACATTTTTGTAAGATTTTGGTATGTTCAAAAACTAAATAAATCTGTATTTTATCAATTGTTAAATGATTGGCGGGTAATATGAAATGTTTCATCAAGTGTACTGAAAAATTCAGTCAGGCAAACACTGATTTTTACGGTGGTACTGAAAAGTATCGTCGGTCATTTATGTGATCAAATTTTGTGTGCTGCGAGCTACTGTTACCACACTTGTGAACCACGGTAAAAATCAGTATTTGGCCAACAGTACTATCAAGTACCAGCATTATATTATATCAATATTAAACGGATAATATTGTTTTTTTTCCTGGAATATAAAAATAAAAAGCTGAAAAGTGGATGTATATCTGCTGTACAGTAGGTTACAAGTGGGTGAAGGTGGGCAAGTTAATGAAAATAATAAACTGTAGCATGTTAAGGGGACGTTAGGTATGTGAGAAATGTATATTACAAATTGTAAATATTTAATTTATAAGAACTATTTAATGTATTTATATTTCAAATTGTGAACTCATGGGCCCATTATCTTCTTGAAGAATAAACAAATATAAAATAAAAAATAAATAAAATACCTTCAGGCTGCATTGTATCAACTGGGACAAGAAAAAAATATACTATCATATACTTTGTGATTCTTTTATCAAACAACACTCATTATTTCAAAAAGTGTAAATTATTTTGAAAATATTTTTTATCCTTATAATTTTTTAAGTTTTTTACTTTTTTGAATGACAACATAGGGTTTTAATTTTATTTTCCAAAGCAGAATATTTTTCTTAGTATTTTGATACATGAAAATCGAATTTGGGTTGAGTAGTTTTTGAGTTATAAGTATTTAAAGTTTAGACGAGCGGAGTGGAGTGGTTCGGGTTGTTTGTCAAATTCAATTTTCATGTATCAAAATACTAAGAAAAATATTCTACTTTAGAATATAAAATTAAAACCCTATGTTGTCATTCAAAAAAGTAAAAAACTTAAAAAATTATAAGGATAAAAAATAATTAAAAATATAATTTTTTAATAAAAACGTTGTTTTATAAGTGACTTGAAACTATGTAAAAAAATATCTTCAAAAAAATTTACACTTTTTGAAATAATGAGTGTTGTTTGATAAAAGAATCACCCAGTATAGTTTTCAAAAAATAAGTGTTAGCTGAAGCATCACAGCAGAGCACGTCTAATACAATATCCTTCTTAACTAATTTATTATATTTTGTAGTCTACGACAAATAAACCAATTAATGTTTAATTTTTAAATTCTTTAAAATATTTTGTCAAGAATATATTGGAATCATATGGTATATTATTTTCCCAGAAAATACTGATAGGAAATATAATTTATTTAGCATAAAAATTGGCCAAAATACATTATTAGAATTTTTAGTTATTTGTAAACATTCAATACCATAATCTAATTTTATAAGGTATGGTTAAAAATAATATTTTACTGTTTATTTTTTTTTAGTTTCTTTGTTATTAAAAATATAAATGTACAAAGTATGATATAAATAATATAAGTACAATACCAAGAATTAATGCCGTATAAATTTTTACCAACACAAAAGTAGTTTTTTATTTAAACAACATTTTGTTTTTATTTTATATTATATAATATTATGTGGGTATTTTTGATATATTTTGATTTTTAAAATTTTTAATAATATTCGTTCTAGGTATTATACTAAATGTACTTTTGAATACGACGGTGGTGGTGTAGGACCCTGGTTAGGTTACAGAATAGCCGTAAATCGATCACTGCATTTCTAATCATCCAAAACAAGTCACAAAAAAGTTTTTTTTATTTTATTTGACTCGGGTGGTGGCCCAGAGCCTAGATATTCGTATATTGTTTCTCCTTTCATATTATCGTTCCCCGGAATGTTAACAACTAGCCAATGAGTAAACTGGTTGATCCATTACTTCAGCCATGTCAACCACAACGCCGCTTGGATATGACACCTATGATATTAAAATACATATATTAATATAATGTTAAGTGAGATAGGTATCTATTTATGACATTTAATAAAGAGATTTAAAGAGTAACACAATATTATTCAACACATTCAATAGATCTATAAAATGAAAATATATAACTTTTATAGACACAGTTATATATATTTTTTTTTTATTATGTATATAACTGTATATATTATATACCACCAGTGCATCTATCTTTGACCGATTAGAGTTTACAAAAGGCCAGCCTATTAATTATTACCATAAGGTCAGTGGCAACAAGTATTATTTATTACTTCTAAATTTCTGTTACAGTTGTATTTATTATGGTTATTGTTATTATTATGGTATTATTATTTTTATGCCGTTATATAAATGTTACATTAAACATATTTGGAATATATGATTCTGGCTCAAACGTTTCATTAATTAATTCAAAACTATTAAATTTAAAAATTAATAAAATTAATAATGCAAAGAATACCCAAAATACTAATTTGAAGACTATTAATGGTGTAAAAATACTGATAGTATGATAACAATAAATGTAAAAATATTTGAGATAGAAACAAACATAAATATTTTTGTAGTAGATAATAAAGATTTTAATCATGATTTTTGAAAAATTTAAATTAAGACAAAATGAAAAACTAGAAATTACACAGAAAATAATTCCTGAGAATCCAGGTGAAACTTTTAAAAATATCAAATCTAAAAAATGAAAAAACAGAATATAAGATAAATTTTAATGAACATGTTAATGTGGATCATTTTGAAATTACAATAAACCATTTAGAACTTATTGAATAGGCTGAAATAGAGTCTTATTGATAAACATAAGACAATTTTTTTCAAAAAGCAAATGCAATATAGGAACTGTGAAGGATTATGAAGCTCGAATGAATTTGTTGGATAAACATTGTAACAAGAGATCATATAGGTATACACTTGAAGATAAGAAAGAAATATAACAACAAGTTTCAAAGTTATTAAAAACAAATCTAATTGAAGTGTCATATAGTCTGTTTGCTGCCCCAGTAACATTAGCCTATAAAAAAAGAGGAACGAAAAATAACAAGATTATGTATCGATTTCCGTGACCTGAATAAAATTGTAGTTCCTCAATCAAAACCTTTCCCATTAATATATATTTAGTAGAAAAAACAAGAGATAGCATCTTTTTTTCAACATTGGACATAAATTCGGCCTTTTGGTCAATTCTTATCCGAATTGAAGACAGACAAAAAACTGCATTTGTAACTCAAGAAGGACACTTCCAGTAGACTTGTAAAAATATTAGACAATTTTTGGGAAAATTCAATTTTTATAATAAATAAATACTAAATAATTATATTATATTGGATCCTCTACATAATTTATTCAGAAATGGACAACATTTCACATGGTCAGAAAAATGTCAAAAATCATTTGAAAATAGAAAAAGTTTACTCTGTTCTCAACCTGTATTATACTAGTGCCATCCAGAGAGTGCCACTCGTTGGCGCATCCAAATGACCGAGCGACGAGGTTGCAAACCCAAATTTTTCCCACTCTACCGCCTAGTCGCTGCCTTAAATTCCCCCCACACGCTACGCACGACCAGGTGGAAGTTGCAGCGACAGTGGCCGCGACCAGAGTTGACGGCAGCCAAGTTCGGGAAGGTTTAGTGGTGGGAATGCGCGAGATCGGACGAATTTTGGTCGCCACCCAGTGGCACTCTCTTAATGGCACTAGTACAGCATTTTTCTACACAAATCTACCGATGCAAGCATACAAGGAGTGAGAGGAGTCTTAAAACGACCACAAGAAGACAATGAAGAAAAACCAGT